AAAAAAGTGCAACCACCAGTCTGGAGAAGCAACGTGCTGTTGGTCGGAGGGACGTGCCTGCCGGATTGGGGCTGGGAGAGGCTTCGATGGTGCCTGTCAGCAAAACTGCACCTAAAGCTCAAACTTTCCCCCCCCCCGCAACACGGGGCTCCTGGAATGGGGTGACCCCCCCAAACCATGAAACAGGAACCTGGAGAGCACGTGAGCAGCGATGGGGGCACAGGCCCTGACCCCAAAAGCTTATGGCAGTGCCTGGTGGCTCGGTAGCCCCGGGCACCTCCCTCTGCACCCCTCATTAAGCAGATAACGAGCCTGACCATGCCTGTTCCCCCATTTCTAAATCCCATTTGACCCTGGCCTGGGTACAGCATCACCGCCGCTCCCCGCGTGAGGGCATTTCCTTATCATTTACCCTGATGCCATCGGGAGGCTCAGCCGTTTGGCACAGCACCGTTGCGGGTATTTCCAGGTTGATCCTTCACATCCCAGGAGGACGCCACTGCTCAGGGACATGCAGCTCCCCAGCCCTGGAAAAGGGCTGGCAGAGAGCCAGGGCCATGGGGACACTCAGCTCCAGCCCCCAGTGACCAGCTCATCCCCCCCGAGACGTACCACCAAAAGTCTTCGCCGCCCCGCCGAATCCAGGTGGGACACCTCTTTCAGTGGGTGATGGGAGCACAGGCCCACCCGTCCCAGCAGTGCATCCCACGGAGCAGTCACAGAGCCAAATTCTGGGTTGGCTCAGCATCTTCTCCGACGTTTCGCTGCCACCCGTCTTGGTTTCTGACACGATCAAGTGAATGATGAGGGGAAAGGGAAGAAGTAGTAGTATTATTACTGTTATTATTATTCTTCATTATTTTTAACATTTCAAATAAAACCACGTTGTGTTGTAAACAGAAGCTCACTCCTCAGGTGTGCCCAGCCAGTCCCAGCTAAGGTTTATGTTTGAAATGGGCTTCCACTGAAAGCAAAAAACACAGAAAAATCAAGTTAAAGGCAGGACAAGCACTGGCAGGTGGTGACAGCCCCAGGCAAGCCCACCCTGCGGATGGTCCTTGTCTCACCGATGCTCCTTAGCTCCAACTATCCTTACAACTTGGTGACCGATCATCCTTATAGCAGCATGGACATCGTGCCAGAGGTGATGAAGAGGGAGGGATACCATCCTCCTCCTCCTCCTAGCATGAGCCCCTCTCTGCTTGGACAGCCTTTGCACCTTCTCCAGGCAGGGAAAGGCTGCCCTCCTCCCACCACAACCCCGATCCCCCTCCATCCATCCCGTCCTCTAACCCACGGGAAATAAAGGGGCCGAGGCTGATCTCCAGCAAACACACCTGCGTATTCCTGAGGCAGCATTGGCCGGCTTATAACTTTCTGAAAAGTCGTAATCCACTCCAGTTGGTCGTCCTCTGTCTCACAGGCGAAGAGGAATTTCCGATCTGGGGTGACAATGGTTATCCCGTGCTGCCAGTGGTTTCCCTGCGTGGACGGCGGGAGTCCTTCCAGGACCTTGTAGCTGTTTTCCTTGCTCCCAATAAAAACTTCCCCTCTAGCAAAGGCATCCTAGGAGAGAGCGGGGTGGTCAGGCAGCCGCGATGGTGAAGGGTAGCCAGGACGCGGCTCACCCCACACCAGCCAGAAGCCCCATCAGCAAAGTGCAGCAGCCGAACACCGACAGCACCAGCCACCCCATGCAAACCCGCTCCAGCTCCTCCCAGGGGCACCCATGATACAAGACCAACACCAGGGATCCAAAATTCACAGAGTTTCCAAAGCATTTTAGGTGAATATCTGTGCATGGGGCTACTGCACGCTGAGCACCAGGCAGATCCACCCAGCAGTGATGGCTCAGTGCCCTCTTGGCTCTCCCACTAGCCAGAGCATCACTGCAGATTATTACTACTATTATTATCATTATTAATAATATTATTATTGCAGATAATTCCCAACAGACAGCCCAGGCACCTTCATCTTACCAGGGGATCTTTGAAATACATGAGCCGTCGGTCATCCATGGTGAACCATCGCTTCTTGAATCCCTCTGTTTGCTGAAGAATCACAAAATGCCAAATTACACACCAAAGCAGTGCGGCTCCTCGCGTACCAGCCATGACCCAGGAGGATCAGGGCACTCAAAGGAGCCCGATGGGGACAGGCAGCTTCTGGGCCACCACAAACTGGCACAGCAGGGTCCAGGCAGGCCACAGCAGGAACGGGCAGTGAGAGGGGAGATGGGGTGGTTGGTGTGTGAAGTGGTTCTGGATTTTTTAACATTTGGGAGGGAAAATGTATTAACACAATCACAGTGTAAAGGCTTTGCCTCTCTGGCAAGGGTGGGTCTGTCCCACCAGCAGACCCTTCTGGGCCTCGTACAGAGCAAGACTCACATTTAGAGGGATCGCAGAAACATTTTTTGTCCTACCTTTGGCCCCGTTTTCTCCATGTACCCTTCCTTCAGGTAGTTTCTAGAAAGCTTTGGCACCAGCTGGAGCAACCAAAGGAGAGAGAAAAGAGAGCAGCGTCAGCTGGAGGGGGCTGGGGCACCACGGGGCGCGCAGGGCAGGGCTGGGGGTCGCTGGAAGGAAAGCTCCTGCCCAGCTCATCCTCGGCCCTGACCCCAGCCGACGGCTCTGGCCGAACGCTTTGGTCTCACTTCTCCAGAGTTGGGTGCAGAAGCATAAAGCGTCTTTGAGCACTTCACCAGCAAAGCCAACAGCCTCCAGAAGAAGCCCTCAGGCCAAATCCCACCTCACCAGTCCACTCTGGCGACACTTCTCCTCCACCAGCCGCAGCAGGAGCTCCCAGTGTAAGCCCTAACAAACAGTTTCCCTGTAAAACCCCCTTAGCACACCCTGCCTGTGCACTCCCCCTCCTGCAGATACCGCTGACAACAGCCACCAGCGCCGGGGGGATTGTTAATGCTGCATGACGAAGACAAGGCAGTAGCTGTGTCCTGGTTTAAGCCGGGACAGAGTTAGTTTTCTTTTTAGCAGCTAAAATAGTGCCTTTTTGGATTTAGTCTGGGATTTGACATGAGAAGAACGTTGACAGCGCACTGGTGTTTATAGTTGGTGCAGAGACATCAAGGATTTTTCGGCCTCCCATGCTTTGCCAGTGTGCAGGAGCACAACAGGCTGGGGGGAGCGTGGCTGGAGCAATGGACCTGCAACTCCTAGCTTGTGATTTGAGTTCAGTTTTAGGATTGAGGCCCAAATTGGCCAACAGAATATTCTGTACCATGCAACATCATGTCCAGCATATAGATGAGGGTTGGCCGGGAAGTATTTTTCTCTCTCTCTCCTCCTTCAGATCTCTCTTCAGGGCTCTCGCTCTTCCAGGATTGTGGTTTCGGGACTTCTCTGTTTTGGGATCACTAGCTGGGCTGGGTGACGTGACACCACCACCAGTGGTGACCACCAGTGGTGACACCACCACCAGTGGTGACAGTGGTGACGTGAAACCACCAACCAGTGACGTGACACACCAACTGCAACAAGACACTCACAGTCCGCTTGCGCTAACGCTGCCTCCAGTATTATATTAGCCAAAGATAACACAATTAGCAGTTCCAGCTCCCGGAAAACACAAGACAGAGATTCATAAGACGGGCTGCATTGACCTGCACACAAAAACTCATCCCAGGGGCTTAGTAGAGTACTGACGCCTTCGCCTTCATCTTTTCTACCTTCCAGCCTTTGTTTCAGCTTTTAACGTTGCAGCAACAATCTTTGAGAAAGACGCTTATGGCTTCTGTACGCGTGATAGCGCTGGACCTACTCGTACACACGACTCCCATTTTGAGTGTGAACACGTGTGCACGCACACAAACACGGTTTCCAAGGCTGGATGTTGGTGACAGGTGCTGCACGTGGGCTCTACAGCCCACCAAAATCATTTCAGCTCAGTAATCATAAAACACTCTGAAGGATGGAGCACTCTCCAAGCCTCCCAGCTTCTTAACAAGATGCTAAAAATGAGCAAGAGGAGGGGGGAGGAAAAAAAAAATAACTGCAGGAAAACTCACATCAACATCGCTGGCTCCAGGGAATGCCACTTGTAGGTAATGAAACCGGGCTGCCCGGATGGCGTTGAACCAATCCACTATTTCCTAACAAGGAGAAAGAAAAGCTCAGTGAGTTGTGTAGTCTGCACACAAAATAACGTGATCCTGCTGCCTTTCATCTCTCCCATCACCTTGTCCCAAGTGACAGAACACAGTTTAGCAGCAGTCTTAAAAAAAAATAATAAAATACAGACGTAAAAGAGAGCAGCAAATGGGTGAAGGATGGAGAACATCCAGCTGCTGTCCCAGGCTCCAAGACACGCGCGGAGCTCTGCAGACCCCAGTGAGCACCAAGAGGTTTTCTGCAGAGGGAAGGATTTAAGCACGTCTCTGAACTGGCAAAACCAGCATCAAATGAGCATTTGAGATATCAAGCCCAGGGTTGAGTCTGACTCTATAAACACTGCTTGGCTCATGCCCGCTGGGTACAGTGGCCAAACATCTCTTCATATTGGTACTCCAGTCTATCAGTCCTATCTGCAAGTCCTCGAGGGACAAAGACAGTGATACCGAAGTCCCAGCTCAATTCCCAGATGCTCTGGCACTTCTACCTTTCCCTGGGAGAAATCTCTCTCTATTCTTCTGACCGGGATTTTTTCTCTCTGAAATAGCTGTTTTAGAACTTTTTTTGGTTTTAACCTCATCTATTCGTTTGTCTCTGGTGAGATCCGCAGAGCTGGTGCTGCACTGGATGCCTTTTTGAAGGTTTCACTGAGAAACACCACATTAATTTTAAGTGATCCGCACAGGGAGCTCTCAAATACTGCCTTGTGGTACAAAGGCACAGGCAAAGGAAAGGCATTTTGGAAAGGAGATGTAACAGCCACCCGCACCGGGATGCTGAACCATCGGCTGTCATCAACACGTGTGAAGATTCACACATCAGGGATGGGTTCGATGAGCCAGACTTGATCCTAAAATAACCGCTGTCAGCCCTTTCAGGTGAGGTTGCTGTAGCGTAGGAAAGACCATATCTAAGTAAAAATGGGCCTTATGTAAGATTTAAACTTTTATATGCTTAAAAATGATTGGGGAAAAGAAAAGGCTCTTCCGTGTAACTTTGGAGATCTGAGATTAAGGCGTTGAATTGGAGGCATCCCAAAAACAGCCTAACACGGCGAACAGCCACCTTCTAAAAGTTCAAACGCTTTGCTTTGGCTTCTTCATCTACTCCAAGTGAAACTCTCCCACATAACAGGCCATATACAAACAACGTTTTGGAAAACTCTGACCTACTTGACTGAGGTTTTACTTACTTACCACTCGCTTTCCTACGCTAAGCAGCTAAGCAGACCTCAGATAGCAGCACAAAGAGGATCAGCAAGAGGAATGGGCTCCTGAAGTTAATGGTGACCAAACCAGGCTGGAGGTAATGAAAAATCAGCTGTACTGTTAAAATGTTGATATTTCATACAGTCACCAACCAGAGGGCTGTATAAATATGCGGGTCTCCTCCTTGATCGTGATGCGAGATGGGGTTTCACCCTGCAGAGAAGCAGAGGCTGAAACCCTCATTGACTTCCACCAGTTGATTCCTTCATAGAGTATTGATCGCCCATCGCTGGAGGAAGGGGCACCACCACCTTTATACAAACCTGTACCTGTGTAGGCAACGCCAGAAGGCTCAGTTGCTAAAAATTTTCTGCATGTATAATTATGGATAATGCTGCAGATAGAGTGAGTAGAATATATCTGATCTATTCAACCAACTTCGAACTGCTCAGTTTTTTGACAGGAAGGTGTCATCTCATTAGCTCGTTAGCAGAGATTCCTTTCACTGATTTCTGCCTGGGAGCAAGCAGAGAAAATGAACTACTGCCTGTACCTTTGCAGGTGGCTTTTCCAGGCTCTCAACTCCCTCCTGGTCTGCATGCAGTGCCACCACAGCGTCCCTCTCTGCATGCCCATCTTCATGTCTCTCCAGTCTCCATCCTGCACCAGAGCCACCCACATTGTCATGGCAACCTCAGACAGACAACCTCAGCTAAAAATGCAACTTCTTCTCACTATACCTCCTGCCCATCAGTCCCTGGGGCTCAAGGAACAAGCCCCTCAGCTACAACTTCTCCTGCTGATGATCGATGCCCTCTTTCCATCCTGAAAGCTTCTGGCACGGCTGAGGAAAGGGGGAACACTGAGGGAAGAGCATTTGGCTAATTTGTCCAGACAAGATCCAAAGATCTTGGTTTGCACCCTGAAGGACGGCCTTTCCTGGAGACTCAGCCCACCTCTGAGCATCCTAAGGGCGATAGTAACAGCAGGGATGGCAGCAGCACACCGCAGCTTTGCAGGAGAAGTCCTGCAGAGGGAGCTTCAGCCCCGGACAGGAGCTCAGAGCGGTGGGAAATCCGCTTCTGCAGCTTTCCTACCTCCCACGCCCAGATGGAGACGTGGGGGAAGGCGAAGGCTGGCTCCAGCCTTGTGCCCACAGGAAGGACAGCCCCGGCAAAAAGGACCAGCTCAGGTGTCTCCAGGACACAGGGCACTCTGCACAGAGGAGTTACCCCTGGCAGAGGATCAGTCTGCAGCTCCAATGGGTGCCTCAGCTTCACCCCAGCTGGCTCCGTACACCTGGCGGTGGGTAAGAGCTAACAAGGGACTGCAAGAACATCCTTTAAAATGGTCACAGCCCAACACATGTCTTGCCCTGCCCCTCCAGGTGCCTGTTATTGTTAGACACCTGCATCACCAAAGCACCCAGATACACTCGTTTTGAGCGGGGTGCTGGGGCTGGTTTCAGTCTCTCATTTGCCATCAGGACACACCGAGGAGCCAACGAAGTGACCCGGCTGAGGTCACGCAGGAGCTACATCTCCAGCCAAGTCCCATGATGCTGCCCCATCCCACGATGCTCTGTCCTCATCCCCAGCTCTGGAGCGGCATCACGGCGACCTGCTTCGTCCATTCGTCTTTCATCCCTTTGGGTGCCTTGCCAGGGCAGCAGGGCTCTCCCACCTGTTTTAGGGGTTGAATAAGCACACGTGGGATTATCCCACCCAAGAGATGAGCCCACTTTTTGGGGGGGATATTGCAGCAGAAGAGCCGAGTGGAGAAGAGCACGCGATGCCCTGGATAACTGCCGAGCTCCTCAATGGGAAAAAAACACCCAAATCCTGTGCTGGTGGGAGGCCAGACAGATCGGTGCCACGATCAGGCGGGGAGGGATCCAACCCCAGAAATATGAGACAGGAGCCTAAATCAGGCTCAAGGGCTTCAGACCAGGGAGAGGCAGCACCTCTGGGGTACAAGGGGACACCCTGGGGCTGCTGGGGGAGCACAGGAGGGAGCGATGGGCAGCAGGGGATCGCAGGCGAGTCCCAGGGCTGCCTCCAGTCCCAAAGGGTGGGAGCTTACTGCGGGGGGCGGATCTTCTTGCAGCCCTCGCTCAGCCCAAGGGGCAGAGTGATTTCAGGAAAGTCGAAAAGAAATTCGACCTGGGTGTCATCAGATGGCATCAGAGCGCGTCCTGCCAAGCCACCAACATGAAGGCAGGAACAACCATGAGACCTCTGAGACTGCTCCTTCCACGAGCCCCCAGCAGAAAGCCCAGCATTTTAAACCCAAAAACCAAGTAACAGTAAACCCCTGACTCTGTTCCTTGCAGCTGGGCACAACCAAAGCCCAGCAAACCACCAACACGGGCACGACGGAGGGACGTGGCTTTCATAGGAAAGAGCTTCTTCCTCTTATTTTGGTTTAAATTGTGGCCAGGGGGGTACCTGAGAGCACTCGGTGACAAGCGGTGCCCGCTCCGTGCCGTGGAACTTGCATATCCCACCAGGCAGAGTGGACGAAGGAGAGGGTAAAGGGGCAGCTCCCTGGGACCCACGAACGCACAGAGCGAGACCCCCCGGTGCTGCTGGGTGTGGGAGGCTGGGCAGGCTGAACTGGAGCACAGGGCTGGAGAGACGCAGCCCGGCAAATAAATCACGGTGTGAGCAGCAAGTAGAAGGCACAACCACGCTGTGCCGCTTCCCACCGAGCGGCAAGACCTGCCTAGATTTAGGTGGTCACCATTGCTTTCTGTTTACAGACAAACATATACATGGGGGGTGGGGGGAGAGAGAGAGTTCCTTTATATACCTATATACAGCAGTACAGACACAGGCACTTATTCATCTATTACATGCCTATATGTGTGTGCATGCATATTACATAGAATCATAGACTGGTTTGGGTTGGAAGGGACCTTAAAGATCATCTTGTTCCAACCCCCCCGCCATGGGCAGGGACACCTTCCCCTGGATCAGGTTGCTCAAAGCCTCATCCATTCTGGCCTTGAACACTTCCAGGGATGGGGCATCCACAACTTCTCTGGGCAACCTGTGCCAGTGTTTTACCACCCTCATTGTAAAAAATTTCTTCCTTATATCTAATCTAAATCTCCCCTCTTTCAGTTTAAAGCTGTTTCTTGTCCTAACACTACACGCCCTTGGCAAAAGATCCACGGGGCAGTGTGGTGACTGTTGCTGTTCCTCATAGCAGCCCCCCAGGCTGGGACCCCTCTGACAGCTTCCCTAGGGGCTGGGACCCCCTCACTGTCCTGGCCCCCATGTCCCACTGTCTTCATTGTGCCAACAACTGTCTCAGACCCATGAACCCTCTTCTTCACACCTCCCTTCAGAGGCACGAGGGCATCGCAGCAAAGGGATTTATGTCAACACGAACATGCAGATTTGCAGTTTATGACGTACCAGAAAGTCAGAGAAACAACCAGTTCCTCCATTCTCCTACAATCTAGATCGCTGCCCTTTTGCGAGTCCTTAGATGGAGTCTCCTCACCTTTCGTGGCTCCATTCACCCCGTCTCCTTCTGTGGGCACTGAGGAGCCTGCCTTAAAACATGTCCCTGCCCCTACATCTAGTGCAAGCAAAGGAGCTGCAATTCCTTCCATTTGCAACTCATTATTTAGAAGACACAGTATGCAGCCTTCATGCTTGGAAGGACATGGCAAACACGCTCAAAGCTGGTTCTGCATCTTGTACCCCCATCCCTTCCACACCCCCTCAACACTTCCCAGCTCGGTTAGAGCCTGGTGTGCCACAGGCTGGCTCTGAGCACCATCCACCCCAAGGACCACAACCCAACCCTTCTTGTTACCTCCATGCTCTCACCTTGCCATCTTCGTGATAGACAAAGATGTTCCTTGTGCTATTGTCCTTCAAGTAAGTGATCTGCAGTCCGTGGGGGTTCCCAATTTTTGCAGGTTGGAAAGTCGCATTTAGATGTTCGATCTTCATAATTGCTTTAGGTTCTTTTGCCTGGAAAACACAGCTGAGTGAGCAAACACCTGACAATTGGCTTTCAAACCAGAAAGCAGTTCACTTGGTCAGAAAAAACATCCTGATTGAGGCCATTAGCTAAAAAAACTGACTCCCAGCCCTCAAAACTGCCTGGCGATGAGATATCAGAGACTTTGCTTGGGTATCAATGAGTGCTTTCCACCTGCCTGGAAAAATGCTTTGTTCTTCTGCAAAATTCAGCAGAGTTCAAGGGGAGAAAGGTTTCAGCCCAGAAGCAAGATGGACAGGCCAAGTCTCATGATAGGATCTTGTACTATAAAGACAAGCACCTTCACCATGCCTCCTGTCTCAGCCTCTGTTCAACCCTCTCCTGACCCCTAGATCTCCTCCAGCCTCTTTACCTAATGATAAGTGACCAGCACTTACACTGGGATGAGCACTACTGAAGAAAAAAGAAAATCATTCAGCCACAACAGAAAAAAAAACCTTGCAGACTGCTAACTAATGCACAGGATGCTTTCTGCATCTCAAGCACTCACAGCCAGTTCATCCTTGCCCAAGAAGATGGAGGATTATCCCCCTTGCCAAATTCAGACCTGGGTGCTAGGCTGGCAGGTGGCACCATGCTCATGTCCCCACCAGTCCCACCCTCTCACATGAGCCATTGGTTTCTGACTCTGCTCCTCCCCTTGCCCTCCAAACCGGGAACTTTCTTTTCATAGGGACAAACCTATATCTTACAGCCCACCTCTTGGGTGGGTTGGCCCATTGGTGAGCCGGGATCAGGACCTCTCAGGCATCAATCCCACCTACACCCTCTGTGGCAGGTCACTTGAACTTCATAGCGCAGTTCGTCTTCCTACAAACATCTCTAGAAGTTTCCCACACTTTCAGGGCTGTACTGAGAAGTGAACTAGCAAGAGTGAATAAAATATTCCCCCCAAAAAAAGATTAGGCTCTCAGTAACACCAGTTTGAAGGCACAGCCAGGGGCCAGCAGAAGGTTGTGTGCTGGTGCCGTGGTCCCCAGCACCACGCGGAAGTCCCTGAGCTGGCGGAGGTGTTAGCACCGCTTTGGGAACTTGGGGACTTGCCATGGACACACAGAGCCATCGCGGGTAACCACGGTGGGGAAATTCCAGCCAAGAGGACATGTCTAGACAGCGCCGTTCCCACCACAGCTACGGTCAACAACGAAACAAAGCATTTAACCTACTGGAGCAGTCAATGGCCACTGAATGGGGGCTGCTGGGACTTTCACTTCTCCCTCGGTAGTGACTGGTTCTCTCCTGTCCACGTGGTGCAATTGCACCATACCACGTGACGCTGAAGGAGAGCATGGGGCTATTGAAGTTGTCCGCTGGTTGTGGAGAAGTGTGAATGGATGTTCCCCTCCTCTGCATGACGAGGCTCATCATGACACCACGATTGCATCAACTACTTGAGAAAACTGGCTGGTGGCTCAGTCTGGGCTGCTCTCAGCTGTAATGTTCAGGGGAGACTCAGAGGAAACACCTTGGCTTCCTCCATCACGTGGTGCAGAATAGTAGAGCATCTATCCATTCATCACAAATGCAATTTTCATGGTAATAGCTTCATTTCTCACTTACAATAAATGAAATGTGCTCTGGGGAAAGAGACAAATGCTTCCACACTTCTTGACGCTGGAACAGAAAACCAAGGAGCTTTTCCTCTGGATTGCTTGCCATGGCATGCAAAGGAGGTTTCATACCCCCGTGACCACTGTAAGGTAGCGATACCTTCATCACGAGCTGGCCATAAATCTGAAGCCCATATCAGCTGGATGATGCAGAGCCTGAGCTGAGAAAAACTCCTTCGTTGGGGGTTTAAGAAAAGCCTTATCGACTTTCAAGGGCAATGGAGCTGGAATGTGTAAAATGGCCAGTTAGGGGGTCTCACCAGGACTGTGGTGGTGGTGGACCGAGAGTAAACCCTACTAAAGAAAGCGATGAGCTCTACCTGGCACCCTCGTCCTGGAGTGACTGGGGACTCAGTGCTTATGAAAACTGTATAAATAAGACGACCTAGGGATTACTTGTTCAAAGATGCTCTTACAGTTGCGATCCCCCGTCCGCATACAGCAACCCCAGGTACTCACATCATTTTTGTTGAAGTACTTCAGTGCGCCTTCCCTCTCCGATAACACGAATTTTCGGCTTAAGAATTGCCCGTTGTCACGTCCTCTCTTCCACAGAAATCCTTCTCGGTACCCTGCGGCAGAAAGCAACTGCTGAGAACCAGGGATAAAACGCTCTATTTAAAAAAAGAGATAGGGTAAAGAAAAGGAGAAGAGCTTCAACTTCAAAGCCAAGCAGACCAAACGTGGGGCTGGATTGCTCAAGACGAACGAAACACGTCGTCTCCTTCAGATTTGCCCTTCTCATTCCGCTCTTGCTCTTTTCCAGCAGCTCGTGCTTCAGATGTCCGCGCTCTGACACCGCGATGCGGCAGGCAAAGGGGGATTTCTGCCCTGCGTCCCACGCTGTGATACCAGTGAAAACTCGAGGAGTGAGGCTGTGCCCCTGCCACAGCTCCTGGAGTCAGGGATGCTGCTCAACTTACAAAGTAGCACTTCTGGAGCAAGGGAAAGGCAGGTGAGATCTGCCTCCTCTGTTGATGCCACTAAAAAAATGAAAACCCAAGTGTGTACATGTA